TCAATTACAATTATTACATATTCAATTACACTCCAATTTTGTAAAAATAGACTCAATTAGAATTATAATTTTGTCATGTTGAAGTAACGTAACGTTAGGACTAGCGTAATATTTAAAATCTGCCTTACCATCAATAATGATCATTTAATGCTCTATTTTGAAGAATATTGTCCTTTTTGGCTATTATAGTACAGTTACTGTTTTAGGAAATAGTGACTGCTTAGTCAGGGAGGGCCTGACCCTCGCAAACAGGCCCCGCCTGACTAGTGACTGCTGTTGATGCTCAAACTAAGTACACAATATCAAAAGATGTGTGTCCATCAAAAATTATAAAAATGGAGAATTTTATTTTAGCCATCTTTGACAAAATTTGGCTCAAGATTGCCAAATTTTGAATGAGAACTTCAAAATTAAAGTTCAATTTTAATTAGAATCAGCTTAAACTACTTTCAACACATGTATATGAGTCAGAAAATTAAGAATTTTCTCCTTGACTTTTTGGGTGACATTTGGCCAAAAGCTCTGTATTATAGTATAAGGACCCAATTTTTGAGCAACTTCTAGTAACATGAACATAAGTACATGCATATGCATTATAGGAAAGTATATGTATCAGGAAAAATTTTAAAATGGTAAATTCTTCTACAGCCATTTTTCTAAAAATTGGCCCGAGACTGTCTACTATAAGTCCAGATTTTTGAGCAACTGACTTTAAAAAATTCAATTTTGATTGGAATCAGCTTACTCTACTCTATGAGCACAACTAACTGAAATACAATAACAACACACCATACATATTCAGCATGTGACTCAATCTCTTTAGATTTAGTAGAACAACTAATACCATGAGTGCTAATACTTAATAATAATAAACACATGCATAATGAATTAATAATAGAATTAGTTAGAATAACACTATAATAGTAATTTTAGTTGACCTCAACCACCAAAACTTAGCTCAGTCCTCCAAAATTATCGTACCATTATATTTTAACATTAATTTTTGCCAGATAATATTCTTACAGTTCAACAAAGAAAAAAAAAAGGTAAGTTACCCACATACAACTGTCATTTGTATGATATTGACTAGAACTGGCTACTTGTGAATCTGTTAGTGAAGCTGGACCTTCTGAAGAAAAAGGTATAATAATCCTACTGGTAATTACTTACAAGTAATACTGCTATTTATGTAGATGATCATGTAAACCAAGTTAGAAATGAAATTAAAAAAATATTGAGGAAACATCGAATGAATCTAAAGGATGCTAGTGGGTATAGTTTAAGTCGTATAGCTGATAAATTATATGTGTTCAAAATAATCAGTGGTACAGTACACAAGAGTCCTGAATTTGATCACATAATTGATCTTTTCATAATTTGTTTGAATATTTGTTCTACAAAGATCAATTTATTGGAGACGTGTGAAAAGTTTTTAATTGGTTTTTCATGTGACTGTGGACCATCAGAAACAATTTCAAATTGTATTCGAAAGGATGTGGAAGAAATTATTTTTGAAGAAGGTGATAAATGGCCTCAAGTTCAGTAGAAAAATTAATTCACTAGTTTTAGCAAGAGTACATTATGTACTCTTGGTTTTAGGCTATTGTATTTTTATAATAGTCAGCTAAATTTTTGTTTATTATTTTGTTTTGGTGTTCAGACTTTTTTATTTAGAATTTATGTTGTAGTAGTTGTCTATATTTAATATTCCTTTTATTATTTCTAACTATTGCAAACCCTTAGCAAAGAACGTTTCCTATGTAATGCCTAGATAGTGTCCTTCTAAAGCTATGTAAGCTCTTTTATAATGGCATGTGTATATACTTACTACGGTATTTGACTTCTGTCTACTGTCATGAATTGACACAAATATCAGGACTGACTATTTAGTATCACTATATGGTGAGGCACAAAATGCACAGCATTACATTTTATTGCTCTCAACCTTGCAATAGTATAAGGATCTATATTGATGCTTGCAATATATAGTGGATTGCAACAAGTTGATGCAGATGATTATGAGGTTTGGGGTATCATTTGTTCAAGCACTCAGTTGATGCTTCAGGTAAATCTAGCTGGAAGTGCTTTCTATGCATCTATGGTAATGGGTACATCTGCTAATGACACTAATCACATACTTTTAGCTCTTGGCATGTTATACCAGGCAACAGACTTTGCACGTACATATGATACTGCTCCTGATAGAGTCACATGTGCATGCTCATTTTAGATCAGTTTGTCTAAGAAATGGAGGAACATCACATTCCCAAACCAGTCAATGTATACCTGGCACTGTTTTAAGTCCTGGAGGGGTTGGTGGAAGCAGTGTAAACTTTAGTGCCTGTATTGGTGTCATTTCAAATCCTTTTGGCTACAAAAAATCTGGAAGTATTTTACAAGTATTTATAACAATAATTTTTGTCACTATTATGTATAATTTTTCTTGTTTGGGTAGTCTGGGTTTCAGTTATACTTGGAAGTATGGGATGATGATGTATTTGGTCTTGATGACTTAATTGACAGAATAGTAGTTAACATTCCTAATCGAACTTCATCTCAAATATCACACACTACAATTGGTGTATGTATTTAACAGAGTTTCACTATTATCCAGTTATAGGCTGTTATGCAGTGTGAATTATTATGGATTTGATTGTTCAGTCCTCTGTATACCCTATAATGATGATACTAATGGACACTATACTTGTAATAGCACTACTGGAGCAAAGAAATGTAGAGAGGGCTGGCAGAATGTAACCAATAACTGTACAAATGGTTAGTCAACTAAAATTAAAAAATAAAAATATGAATAAATTTTTTTCTGTTTTATAGTTGCTTGCAATTTAGTGTATCGATCACCAGGTGGTACATGTACACATAATGGGACTTGTCAGTGTACTATTGGTTGGTCAGGAGATGGCTGTGATATACCTCAGTGTATTGAAGGGTGTCATCCTCAAGGAGGATATTGTACTGAACCATATCAATGCTTGTGCTACAATAATTGGAATGGAAGTCTTTGTAATGAGTCGTTTTGTACTGTTAATTGTAGTTCAATAGGACAGTGCCTGGTACCTGATGAGTGTACATGTTTAACTGGTTATACAGGACCTGCATGTGAAATTGGTATATTTAATATCATTGATGGTTGATTTTTTTTAATTATAGATTTACTTCCTTGTGATCATCAAATGCCTTGCCTTAATAGAGGTCATTGCTCCCATACTAATCTCCTGGAGAATATGTTTGCTCCTGTCAAGTGGGTTACATGGGAATGAATTGTGAGGTTAATATTGACGGCTGTGCTACTCAACCATGTCTTAATAATGGAACATGTATTGTAAGTTAAATATTGTAGTCCCAATCATAAAAAAGATGGAAATTAAGAAAAAAGGATGTGTCTTAATGTTGTGTTTATAGAATGAAGATCCTGGCAATTACAGTTGCATATGTTCTGCTGGATGGACAGGAAAATCTTGTCATTTCTCAATTGAATATTGTGAATCAAACCCATGTATTAATAATGGAACATGTGTGAATCTTCCAAATGCTTACTATTGTAACTGTTCAAGTCAATATGAAGTAAGTTAAAACAGAACATAATTAAATTTCAAAGTAGCCTATTCTATATTTAGGGACTGAACTGTGAACTAGCTGTTAACGCTTGTCTGCCTGATCCTTGCCAAAACAACTCCACATGCATTAACCATGTTACTAGTTACTCTTGTGAATGCAATGAAGGATTCACTGGCCATGACTGTGAAAGCATAATATCATCATCATACACTACAGCATTGCTGCCATCGCCTTCTGCAAATCCCCCCACTACAACCATAGATACTACAACAAGTCAAACTAGTATGCTAATAATGATAATAATATTAATATACCTTTTTTTAGTAGTAGGTCCAATTGTTGGAGGTATTGTTGGTTCATTGTTTCTAACAATACTCTTGATCACAGCTTTTGTCGCAGTATCAGTTATAACATCGTGTTTTAAGAAAAGGAAAATGAGGAACCACAGTAAGACTATAATTATTGATTAATTGCTATTTTTACCAAAATACAGAGGAGATTCACACAAGTGATGCAATGGATAACGTAGCTACTATTACTCCATTACCTAACCCAAGTTATGCAGTGATTCAAAGAGCATATGATGATAATGATGAGGACTTATACATATGAGAAAATTGATTTATAAAACACTTGGTATACATGTACAAGAATTTGTCATGCAATCAAATAATTCAATTAGATACAAGTAGAGATACTGCCATTACTATTCATTCATTCATTCATGCATGTGCATGTACAAATTATTCTTACTATCATTATAACTAACAATGTTAAAACAAAAGAACACAAAAAAAGACAATAAAAAAAGGAAAATCCAGAGGATTGAGAGAAAAAAACAAATAAATCAACACAGGGGAAAGATGGAGAGAGAGAGAGAGAGAGAGAGAAAATACAGTCATATAACCACATCCACTGATGGCGGAGAGATGGGTGCACCACATTAGTGGACATTACCACACCATACCACCAATAGCCTCTGAAAAAGATGGCTTATAGTTCTTACTGTTAGAAATTGAGTTAGTAATGAATGATGATCTCCACCAAAGACATTTCAATGTCTGCACCCACCACAGGCACAGTGACAGCCCAGCTTATTTGATTGACCATATCTATCAGTAAAATAGCAAAATATGCTAATTAAAATTTCCCAACCTCCCTCCTAGCCACTTTATTAAGAAATTGTAGGAATCACATTCCCATGGATCCAGACTTCTTCAACAACCAGCCCAAAACAAAGGATTAACCCAGCCATTAAAAAACAAGAATAAAAGAGTAGGCTTATTGTCTTACAAAAAAGGAGTCTGAGTATAATAATGTAGATTGTAGGGAATTGTTGAAAATCTTTATATCAAGCCCTCGATCAAGCCTTTCCTAGAGCATTTAATATAGGTGTGGTCTTTAATGGTAAACCACGCCCCGACATGAGAACACACCCACGTGCGCCCACGTGCTCATTCAAAATGTCTTCTAGAGTCATTGTAAAAAATCTTCCCAGCAAAGCAACGAGCAAAGAACTTAAGGAGCATTTCTCAAAATGTGGTCAGGTAATTAATGCATTGATCTAAATTACTTTGAATCAAATTTATTCAATTAATTATTAATTAATTAACACATTGATATGATTTTGAGTTAATTATCTTTAATTTTTATATTTTATAGATAACAGATGTTAAACTCATGTACACTCGTTCCGGTACTTTCCGTAGATTTGCCTTCGTTGGTTATTCCGATTCATTTTCAGCCCAAGAGTCCATTAAATATTTCAACAATACTTACATTGGTACATCAAAGATCCAAGTAATTGAAGCAAAGTCTTTCGGGGACTCTTCCATTCCTCGTCCTTGGAGCAGATACTCTACTGGCAGCTCAACCAATCAAATCTATGAGAAGAAGAGGAAGTCAACTAAGGACTCAAGTATTGAAGAGGAGGGACAGAAAGAGAAGGAGGAGGGGAGGAAGAGTAAGAGACTGAAGCTCAATGAGGATTTTCATCAAAGTCAGTTAGCGTCACTTATCAACGAACTCGAGGAACTAAAGTCGGAACCTGGTTTTATGGAGTTTCTTGTTGCTAACGAGCGTGGGCGTTCCTCAGAGACGTGGTCAAATGAAGGGAAGGGTGGCTCAGAGAATGATAAGAAAAAGAAGAAACGAAAGGAAGTGGAAATCGATGAAGATGAAACCAATAATTGTAAGAAACTATTATAAAATTGTATTACTTTGGTTATTTAAGTCTATGAAGTCTTTACTTATGCACAGGGTTTCCCACAAAGCATGCTAAGTGAGCTAAACAGTAAATGGCATTTTAAAACAACTTTTAAAATTCATAAAAAAATTCAATTTGATTGGAATCAGCTCAATGTTGTAACGAAATGTATATGTGTTAGAAAAAATTATAAAATTGGAGGGTCCTCACGGTCACCTAGCCATTTCATTAAATTTGGTCAAGCAGAGGCTTTGGCCCAATTTTTAGCAGCTTTAAAAATTTGTAAAAAAAATTAAACTTGATCAGAATCAGCTCAAACTTTCTACACAACATGAGTACATTTATGTGCATTAGAAAAAATTATTAAAATAAGGAATTCTTATCTTTTTATTTTTGACATAATTTGGCCAGAATCCCTGTACTACAGTACAGGGACTTGGGCCCAATTTTTGACCGACTTTAAAAATTTGTAAAAATTCAAACTTGCTTGGAATCAGGTCAAACTTTCTACACAGCATTAGTACATGTATATGTATGTAAAAAATTATTAAAATGGGAAATTTTCTATTTTTCATTTTCGGTGGAATTTGACCGAAGCCCCTGTACAGGGGCTTTGGACTTCGGCCAAATTTTGAAGCATTTTTAAAAATTTATAAAAAATTCAAACTTGATCAGAATCAGCTCAAACTTTCCACACAACATAAGTACATGTATGTGTATAAGAAAAAAATTATTAAAATGGAAAATTTTCATCTTCACATTTTCGACAAAATTTTTGAACAACTTTAAACATTTCATTAAAATCTGAACTTGTTTGAAATAACAAAAACGTACATGTACATGAGCAGTTTTGAGCACTATACCATAACCCTGTGAGAAACCCTGCTTATAAATATATGTGTTACTTAATGTACAATGTATGTGATTTATTGTGTATCCTTTTTATTGTAGTAGCACGAGTTCCTTCCTCGGTCTCTGATCTAGAGTTCCTTAAATCAAAAGTCGTTGAACACGTAACAGATGAAACAAGAGAGGAAGAGAGAGAAGAAGAGAGTGAGCCACCACCTCCCCTACACACGATTAGGATGAGAGGTCTCCCTTATGATGCATCAGAGAAACATGTACACAAGTTCTTCTCTCCAATCCAACTATCAAACATCAGACTACTGAAAGATGATAGGGAGAGGTGCAGTGGACTGGCCTTTGTTGATGTAATGAGTGAGACTGACTTGAAAGAAGCAATGAAGAGAAATAAAGGAAGGATGGGTAGACGATATATTGAGCTAGTTGTGGACACTGGGTCAAAAGAGAAGACTGTTAAAGAGAAGAGTAAGAGGCCCTGGGAAGAGAAGGAAGATGAGGAGACTGTGGAATCAATAGCAGACTCTGGTCGAATCTTTATTCGTAATCTTCCATATACAACTACTGAAGAGGAACTGACTGAGTTATTTGAGGAGTATGGTCAGTTATCTGAGATTAATTTACTGGTTGATAAGAGCACTGGATCCTCCATTGGTCTGGGATATGTAACGTTCATGTTCCCTGAACATGCTGTCAAGGCATTCTCAGAATTAGACGGTCAAGTATTTCAAGGGAGGCTCTTACACTTGCTGCCCTCGAAACCTCCAAATAAGGAAGTGGGTGTGGTCAAGAGTATTGAGCCCGAGACACAGTCATCATCGTTTAAGTCAAAACAAAAGGAAAAATTGAAATCGGAGGCTGGGAGTTCACATAATTGGAATACTCTGTTTTTAGGATCTAACGCTGTTGCTGATTCTACTGCTGATCAGTTTGGTGTGAGAAAGAGTGAACTATTGGATCTTGATACAACTCAGTCACTGGCTGTTAGATTAGCTCTCGGCGAAACACAACTGGTCAATGAAACCAGAGAATTTCTAGAATCACACGGTGTGAAGCTTAACTCGTTTGATACTGAGGAAAATGAGCTTACAAGAAAAAGAAGCAAAAATGTTATATTAGTGAAGAATCTCCCGTTTGGTACCAGCACTAAAGAATTAACTGAATTATTTGCACCCTTTGGTTCTCTGTCTCGTGTCATTCTACCTCCTGCTGGTATATCAGCTCTGGTTGAGTACTCCTCTTCCTCTAATGCTAAAGTAGCTTTTAAGAAGTTGTCATACTGTGAGTTTAAACACCTTCCACTCTACCTGGAGTGGGCTCCATTTGGAGTAATGAGTGGTGAACCCTCTCAACCTGTTAAGGATACTGGTAAGGCTGAAGAGTCTTCAAGTATTTTTGTGAAGAATTTGAATTTCTCTACGACAGATGACGGTCTAAGCTCTCACTTTAAAGAGAGAGTGGGTGGTGTTGTCTCAGCTAAGGTTTCTAAGAAATACACTCCAAAGGCTGGAGGAGGAGCATCGCTATCAATGGGTTTTGGGTTTGTTACTTTTTCATCTAAAACAGCTGCCCTGAAAGCTTTAAAAGAGCTTCAGAGTTCATTGCTAGATGGACACAAACTAGAATTGCAATTGTCTCATTCTGCTCCATCCGTCAGTGATGCTGCCTCTGCTACTAGTCACAAGGTGACTAAGAGTCTGATGCCTAAAGGTCCCAAGAATAAGATATTAATTAGGAACGTTCCTTTCGAGGCCTCAAGGAAAGAGCTCTCTCAATTGTTGTCGACTTTTGGTAAAATTAAAAACCTTCGTTTGCCAAAGAAACAGAATGAGCCTAATTCTCATCGTGGATTTTGTTTCGTCGAGTACTCTACTACCGAGGACGCTCGTAGTGCTTTTGAGTCTCTTGCTGACTCGACTCATTTATACGGGCGGAGACTGGTCCTTGAGTGGGCGGAAGGTGACGATACTGTTGATGACATTCGTGCTAAGACTGCTCTCAGGTTTTACAAGGGAGAGGAGGGACCCGAGAAAAAGAAATCAAAGAGAATTACAATAAGTGATAATGATATCGATTAATTGTTTAATAAAATAATTTCAAATAATTATTTTAATGAATTGATTTAAAATAATTTAATAAACCGTCATGCAGGTTACTGAAATCTTTAAAAGCATTCTATCAGCTATGCTTTAAAAGGCAACTGATTATTGTATTAATAAAAATTTTCACTTTAATATATAGTAAAGAACAGCATCACAAGCTGGTGAGTATTGCACAATAAAATTGGTAGAGGTTATGCCAGTACCCAAAGTATGATTATTATTATTATTTATTCATTACATACATTGTTTTTTACTCTAATAAAAATAATTTTAATCACATTTACAAGAACAAGGATGACAACCATATTTGTTACAGCAATGTATGCATGATCACAACAATTTCAATCTTTTCTAAACTTGACTTGAGTTCTTGTTAATGCGGCCTTGCTATTTATTTGTTGATGATCTGAAGTTTAAAATCTAACAAAAAACTTTAAAATAATAAATAAAACTCACTTGTTCTGCCAATGTCTATATAAGGCCACTCCAATTTGATTCCTTGTTTCCCATTACCCGCCCGCATGGGGCCGCATCGCTATTCATTATTGCGGTTTTTCATTGATTATACAAGCAATTTATACAGCTGATAATGAATAAATTTAATGAAAATGAACAAACCCGCCCGCCCGCATCAGGCCCGCCTCTGTAATGGGAAACTATGAATCTTATTGGAGTGGCCTAAATGTACACCATAGGTTTTATAAAATTTATAAAAACCTATGTAACCCATATAAACAAAAACCTTGCGAAAATGCTTGGACCCATCTTCTGTTGATCTGGCTTTGGTCCAGCAGTAATGATTACTGCATGAGTGCTGGTAAAACTTGAAGGAGACACATCTTGATCTTACAATCATTGATTGGGGCGAGCCTGAGCTCGCCCCACTGTCTGTATATGTCCTCGTACGTCACCCCTATTTATGCGTAGATCTAATACGGTAGATTCTATGCATTACCAATGCAATATAAAGTCAATTTTCAATTTTTCATTAAAAGTGGGAGCGGTCACAGTAAAATGAAAATGGCAACCAACACACTGGAAGAATTCATGAGCTTTCTAGCAGCAATATAAAGCAGATACACCGTCCAAAGACTTCTCCAGCAGCTATAGAAGGTTTTAAATTCAATTAATAACCTATGAAGCTCGTCTTTATTGATGCAATTGCTATTAAAACTGTGAAAGTCAATCAAGCTTTTTCTCAGTCATCTTAACATTGGATAATATTATATCTAAAGCTAAGTAAAGCATCTTTACAGACATTTATAGGCAAGAAATGTGTATGTGAAACTAGAAGACTAAAAGTTAAATAAAATAAATGATATAAAGTGATTTTATCAGCAGCATTAAACTTTTATCATGTAAATCATGCTTGCTATGCCTAAATCATGATGCATGCTTTGAAATCATCGGTAGTAGATTATAGATGGATAGATCCAGTGCCATATAATTGCTTTGCTAGCTTAGGCTCGCCCCTTAATGTTCTACATTCTTCTAGTACAGACAATTCTGTGCGTGTGTGTTTGTGTGTGTATGTCTGGGTAGTTACTGTATAATTAATTATGGACATATCTTTCTTCCCAATAAGGATTACCATTACACTCATTAATGAACCATAAAAACTAATCAACCAAACCAATAGATCACATGCACACACACACACACATAGAGGTGGTATAATGCTCATAATACATAAGAAACAGCTCATAGCATAGGGCATCAATAATGTATCAAAAAATGTAATAAAAATTTGGGGTGATTGGGTGATTCCATAGCTATTTTTTGAAAAGGACCATATGCTATATAGTACAGGTTATTTTTCAAATTTTGGCATATATATTTTTAAATATGGTTGTAACTTGAAAAATTGAATTGGGAATCAGCTCAAACTTTCTACATAGCATAAGGACATTGATATGCATTAGAAAATGTAATTATTGTAGTGGGACTGATACTGTTCTGATTATAGAGTGTCCACAATAGTTACTATAATATTGTATTGACTATGATTGAAATAGTGTGACATGATTAACAGTACATTAACCCTATTCCTATTACTGGCTTCTTACCTTCTTTAAGAAGCACTCCCTGTAGTATATTTTCAGGTACTTCCTTACCCACTCTTCACCTGAAATGAGCTAACTTATCAATCATCTCTATTACCAGATATCAGAACTACGAATAGTTTGATGATGTCATTTACAGTCATTAAACAAAACCCTTAAACTTAGCAAGTTACAGAAACCCAATGAGGGGTCCTTTGAGCAAATTTAAAAAATTAATTTTGATAAAAGAATTTCACTGCCGAAAAGAAAGATATAAAAACCATTATAATTAAATTACGTAAAATTAAAATAATAACTACAGTCACACTCACACAGCCACATTAATTTTAATAAGCTTGCATAGGCCATGTTATAATTGATAATTGTCATGGGTTCTGTCTGATGAAAGGAATTCTTTCACTTCAGCTTTTACTCTTCCAAATTCCTCTGGATGATCGTCACAAACTTGAAGTACTTTCCTCCAGGTCACTCCTTTATTGGAATCCATCCATTTCTCAAATACTAGTATCAGCTTATCAGAGGCTGACTTTTCACTATGCAAATAATTCAAAAAATGAGAGTCAGAGCAAAGGAAAAAACAATAATAGACCAGTGGAACATTACATTAATATAGCATTTTAAAATAAAAATAATTTAAAATAGAAAATAACATGAGGTAAAAAACTAAAATTATTAAGTGCAACATCATTTACCGTTAGCTCTAACTCTTTTCAAAGATTGTTCAAATTCAAGTGCACCTTCCAAAGCTGCTGTCCATTTGTCCCTCAAGAGATTAGCAGCAAATTCTATTGGTCCCCCAACACTAGACAGAGCCTCAAGATACTTCACACAATGCTTCTCTAGGTCAGACTTAGAGTCCAATAGATTCATTATAGCTAGAAAGCTTGAGGCTATAGCATCATAAGTAGGTGACCTCTGAACCTGCTGGGTAATGATTTTAGCTTCAAACAGTTTGTTAGCAATTTCTTTAAGTGAACTCTCCAAAATGTAAGCAAAATCAGAGTGATTCTCATTCATAACTTGCTTGATCTTTTGTTTAGCTGCTTTAATATCAAAACCTATAATAACAATAGTCATAGCTAGTCATAACATGTTATGTACATGTACATAACATGTTATGTACATGTACATGTACCTCCTTCTCTTCTTTTAGTTGGTACTGACTTAATTTCATCACTGCCACTACCACTAGGAGCAGCTATAATAGATATAATGTATAACATAATATATTAGATGAATAACTTGAAATTATACCTGATGCAATAGGATGAGCTGTTCTTTGTGATCTGTGAATGTATAGTGTAACAGGATCAGCCACACCTTCTATTGGGACAGAGTAGTGTAGTGTAGGAACAGCATTAAGTGATGAATAGATTGATATCAGACAAGATGGAGGAAGAGAATAATTTTTGTCACCAAAATTGTCAATTTCCTTTTGATGAAACTGTATAATGAAATTAATTCATTGACACATCATAGCTACAGTATTATTTCTTTACCTTGACAGGTTTCATGTGAGGCTCAATAGTCCATCCAGTAAATGGTTTCTCTTGTGGAGCATCAAACTTTAATTCAATATAACCATCAGGAGATGCAATACAAAAGTATTTATGAGGTCCTCTTTCAGCTAGTGAGTGTTCTTTCTTAATAAACTGTGCACAAAATATCATTAAAAATGACTTAATGGCGGCTCACCTCAAGAAGTGCATTCAAATTTTTAGCAGCAGTAAAAGTCACTACATCTTCTACACCTTTCTCCTCATAATAAACCAGTCCAGCATAGGTTTCAGCCTTTAAGAATTCTTTAGATCTATTTTCAGTACTATTTGATTCCTCCAATTGGTGCTGCTGAAGTAATGCATCATTACCTACAGTATAACATGAAAGAAGAAATAAAACTACACTGTACATGACAATGATCATGAATAAAACTTACCCCCAGAAGATGACGAGTTCTTTGTCCTGATACTGGACCCAGGCTCTGATAAAGGATCTATAACAAATCAGTTATCAATAATTATAAGCAATTAAGCATAATTTCTAACCAGCTGATGAAACTTCTGATGAAGAACTGGAACTACCTCCTCCTCCTCCTCCTCCTCCATCACAGCCACAGACAGATACAAGACAGAACTTCTCCCGTTTATGGATCCATACCAACTATCAGTCCTAAACTCTCCTCCCTCTACTAATGTGAACTGGTAAGGAAGACTGGCTGTGCCCACAGGAGCTATTGCAAACTTTAAGTATCCTCCAAGATCTGGTTGTCCTGTTAAATCAATGCAGTGCTGTATCTCTAGTTGTAGTGGCTTCAGTAGAGGCTTTGAGAGTGATACTGCATACACAGCACTCACTAGCACAGTATTAGGAGGAAACTGGAACTGCCCTCCTACAAGAGCAACCACTGCTGCTTCTACTGTCTCAGAGGGCAGTAAGCTGTCTTCTTGTACTCCAATCCTTAGACCATATTTCTCCCAATTCATCAGTTGAGGTTTGTCTCCTTGAATTAAGAACAGATTCTTCTCTGCTACCTGGACATCACTCAGATATTCCAAATTATCTGTTACATACATGTAATTATTAAGTAAAATAATCAATGTCTTTCTTAAACATACCCATTGAGGGGATCAAGTAGTCAAATTGTACACCAACAGAATTAGTTCCTTTGATGCTAAATTGATCATGTTCATGTAGAGTGACATCCATCTTCTCTTTCTTAACAATGATTTGATCTTCTACACAAAATCATAACGTGATCAAAATAGCAAGTATTAAAACTAACAATATACATGATACTGAACAACTCATAATAAGGTTAGCATGTATTAGAAAACAGCATGTTCAGCAGCTGACCTAAATGAATCTGTTTCTCTTTAATATCCTGATCCTCTAGTTCAATGAATTTAGCTCCATACACTGGAACTACATAAATAGAAAAATTGTTTTAGCTTATGACCAAATTAAAATGAAGCAAACCTATGCAAGTCACATAACCATGATTTAATAATATTACCTTTAGTGACAGGCACTAACTGCTTCTCAATTTCCTGCAGTCGTAATTCAAGTCTTTGTATTATTTCCTCTTTTCCCATAAGAGCAGCAGCACTAGAAACTAAAAATGTATTTAATAATGTTTGTACAGTAATGGAAGCACAATACAATACAATAGAACTGTATTAAGGTGATAGATGTAGCTATGATCTTTAAAGTAATGGACTAGTTTATGTAATTTTGATTTACCTGATAGTGATTGAGTCTCCAGTAGTGCTTCCTGAAGTGATTGGTTGTTAATTCTAGCCACTTGTAGATCATGACGTAAAGACTCATTAAGCTCCTTTACTGTCATGTATTCATTCATTCCAATCAATTCCTTTCTTCTTTCTTTTAGTATTAGTTCATAAAACAAAGGAATATTAAGTGAATTTAATACTGGACCCACTGACCATTGACCATCATTAAAAACTGAGGGAGAGAAGGAGTAAAATAAGTTAGTGAGACTGAATGGCTAAATTACACTTCTGAATTTCAGGAAAATGTATCATTCTATATCTACATGTACTTATGACTTTCTATCTTTTAAGTATTTAACAGTGGTATTAATTACATGTATCTACCATAATTAATTTTGCATTACGTTCAGTCATTCACCAACATGTAGTTTTGGTCAGTGTGGATTAGCACATGCATACAATTTTTTGATATAAATAAATAATAATCTTACCTAGCTCTACTACCATTGTGATATTAGGATCAGTCACAGGTGTAGCAAACCATTTCATTACTCCTCCTCCTATGTCTTTCTGTTCAGTCTTTACAATACCTCCGACTATTATCAGGAACACATGATTAGGGTCAAGAAAAAAAGATGATACAGTATGATAGAATCTACCAGTAATGGAATCAGGTAGAGGAATCTGTAGCAAATAAGAAGTAGAGTATACAGTTAATACAGAGTGATGTTGGTATCAGTTATTGGATAGTTTGATGTACAGTAGGTGGCTGCAGGGTCAGAATTTAGGGGCAGTGCTCAAAATAATAGCAAAGGGACAGATGAGATTACAAATTTTAAGCCCACCCTAAGCAACTATTCCACTTCTGGTCTGACTTATTTGCTTGAATAATACCAAAAATTTAAGTTAATTCACCTTTATAATAATATACTAGTATGATGACTACATGTAACTAATACCTTCATCCAATTGTACTGGTTTGTGTCTAATAATAAACATTCATTCACTAGTTCATCATTATCATCCATTCCACCAATCACTACTAGTGTAGGTGAGGTAGAGACACCACTGATAATAGTACTGGCATGACGATCTCTTCCTTGAGGCCACAGTCCATCATTAGGTATTGGTGCTGGTTTAATATACTCCCAGTTCTAGAAAATACATGAAAAATGTATTATTCTCACTGTTAATGGCTTTATTATACTGATAGTGTATAACTTACTATTGTATTATGTGATAATTGAAACAAGTAGATACTATTAGCAGAAATATCTCTATTACCATCAGTCACTAGTCCTCCATACATAATTCCTTTATTATGATTGATCCTTTCAACTATAAAGTTACTAGTTGGTGGAAAGCACTGTCCACTGACAGATGGAACAATCCATTGACCTAAAATACAATGTATCAGGAATTGCATGTTATTATTTATGCAATGTATAGGATAAAAAGTACTACAATAATTAAACTACATGTAATTTAATTCCAGCCTCAAAATAACAAACTTCTATAAAATACAATGAGTCACTTACCATTGGACAGGTTGTAAATATTCTGTTCATTAGTACCAAGACGATCATCAACACCAGGTATCATAATTGTATTATATTCAAATTGATGATGATACTGTGTAGTAGTTGATATAGGACAATATCCACCAATAACCAGCAATTGTTGAGGTTCACCTTCACTTCCCATTACTATCATGCCCCCATAGCCTCTCTTAGTCACAGAATTGTCACTAGTTGGTTGTAATTCTTTCCATTGAAGAGTTAAAGTGTTTAAACAGTTCAAACTGTTATGGTAGCAACTGCCATGGCCACAAAAACCACCAAAATAATAAATATTATTATTAATGGTGGTACAGGAGACTCCTTTAATTCCCAAGGGAGGAGTACCTCTAGTAGGTTGAGAGGACCAAACACCAGATAACAAGTTAAACGCATCAATAGCAGAAGTACACTTTCTCTTTGTAGGAGAATCACAGTGTGGCTCATCTAATTCTCTCTGGTGCCCTCCCCAGCAGTACAGGACCTCTCCTACTACTGCAGTTGTGTGTTGAGCTCTCCAATGAAATCGATCCTGACCTGTAGAATGATAATAGTAAAACATTAACAAAAGAGGAATTAAGGAACCAACTTGATCCAGGGGAATGAGTTGCAGGAGAGACAGGCGTAGTGTTTCTACTCTGTTGAAGGACAGGAGAGAAAGCTATAGGAAAGTAGGTAGCAGATTGATCAGAATTAGTAGGAGATGGACAGTCAGTATAAGAGGATGGGCTCCAAGATGCTTGTAAGAAGCCTGTGGTGGTGGGACTGTCACATGGGCTAGAAGAGCGTGTATTTTTCATCTTCTTTAAGTGTTTCTTCTTTTCTTGTTTCTCAGTTTTGCCAGGCGAGACTATTGATGAGGAGCGCCTTCTACCACGTGAGCTCTTAGCATCAAGATTGACTGTCCACCAACTGCTCTTGCCACTGCTTTCATTCCGTACCTTAACAAACCGACTGTGAAGTGATAGATTGTGTCTCACTGAATTCTGTGAGGGGAGAAAAGGCATTGTAGGAGAAGAGAGAGAATAAGGATGAGAAAAAATGGATATAATAACTATTTTAACAAGTGTATATATGGCCACACTGTTTTATTATGTATATGTTTAGTATTATACTAAATGAGAAAGTGAACTAGATTAGATAATTACATTAATTAGTCCTTAGGTGTAGAAAGAGACATCATTTTTTGAAAGTGGGTGTATTAGAAGTGGAACTAATGAATAAATAATACGGATTCTAATATGTCCAGAAAATAATAAAACACTCACTGGTAGCAAATTTATTGACTTAAGATTACATTAACAACAAATGATATTGAGGGATGGAGGGAGGAAAGGTAGGTGACACATGTACATGTATACTGTAGGGTGCCAAACTTCCATGGGTGTCTAAATTTCTTGCATATTGAGGTTTAGGTTTAGAGAAGCAAATATTAAACACTGTCTAGGCCAAGTATTAGATTATAGTCAGGTAAAATGAGGAGTTTGATTGGTCAAATAAAGCAATTTAAATAGCTTAGTTACCTATTAATAACTTCTTAGATTACTTTTAATAACAATTATTTATAATAATAAAATTGTTATTTTTGAATATTTGCAGTCACATTTGTGCAGTTATTGAAAGCAATTCGTGCTTCTACGTCCTGTATACATGCATGCACTGATTTCATTGTAGAGTAGGTTGGGGAAAAGGTTAAACATCATAGATGTACCATATGACATGATTCGTTTCGTTGGCAAGAGTAATATTTGGTGATGTTGCTGTGGAAATACCGTATTTCCTCAATTACTAGCTGCAGCTACTATAAATTTCAGCTCAAGTTGACAGGGGCTACTATTCGAGGGCAGTCATGCCTGCAAATGACTGCACCCATCACTCACCATGTGTGTGCACACCATTGTGTAGAAATCAAGCTAACTCGAGCTAAACGTTGAAAGGCATGGAAATTGACAGTGTTGTCAGAAGCCACCATGTCTACAAGGCAATATGGAACCCGGTAATAGGAAAGAAACTATAGGTCTTGCCAAAAAACAACAACAAGCACACGTGGCACATTAATTAATCAAATTTTAATTAGCTATGGCTTCAATTAGAGGGCGGCTACTATTACAATAGCTGCAAGCACAGAGGGGGCTACTATTTGGATGCGGCAGCTACTATTTGAAGGGCAACTTCTATTTAAAGAAATACAGTATAATTGGCGGATATTATTGGCAATTTTGCACCACATCTTATTGAGCATGCATGCTCAGAATTGAAACAAAATTGTGGATTTTTATTGGTCATTTCTGCAGAAAACTGCCAATTACCAACATTAATCCCTTGCCAGTAAGTCATCTTGTACGGTAACAAACTATTGTACACTATTATTTTATTCACACTTCAATGACGTGATTGTCTCCACTTTTTCTTCCTCTCTTCTACCCTCCCTCCCTCCCTCCTTTTCAATACATATACACTACATGTAATGTATATCATAATGCAGCTACATCTACATTTGCTTCAATATAAATATGTAAATGTACAGCCTATTATGACTGTATCTTAATCAATATAATAAACACTTTCTTTTCTCCCTCTCTCCTTTAATTTACCTTCCAACCAGAAGTGGATGGACTTTTTGCTTTATCAGAGAAATACGGTACATTTTGAACAATCCAGTTATAAATCTCAGGTAGTGTTAGTTTCTTATCCTGTGACGACAAAATGGCCTGAGTGATGAGATCAGCATAAGACATATTGCCCCAAGCATAACGCATCTTTTTAGTCGAGTCAGGCGAAGAAGGCCAGGTACTGGAACGGGATTGGCTCTCAAGACTGTGGGGCTCAAGCAATTGAGGATGATCCGTCACTTGTTGAGGAGATAATGAGGATGGTGAAGACATTATCCTGTATCTCTGTGTGCTCGTGGGCTGAATAGATGACTGAAGTGAATGAGAAACCCTAATCTGTGTAAATGAAACTAGAAATATCTATTAAAGAAAAGAAGAATAGAGGATCTAGATATAGATCATTTTACCAGTAGTTATTTCCGGTGTCTCTCTCTCTCTGCTATTCGAAAATTACTTACAGGTCAGATAGCTGGTAGCCCTTGTTTAAGCATAGACAGTACACCACCGTCTATGGTTTAAGCACCTAACCTTCCAGACAGTTAGTTTAGTACGTGTAGTACTTGCATAGATCTAAGTCTACAGGTTTAGTGGTATTCTTAATTTCCTGGTAGACCTCGCAAGTTCTGGAACCCCAATAAGGGGTCATTTGAACAAATTTAAAAATTCAATTTTGGTGAAGGAATTTTAGGAATTTTTGTAGATAAAAAAACCATTATAATTAAACTACTACATAAAACTAAAATAATAATTACAGCATTAATTTCTTTTACTCTTCCAAACTCCTCTGGATAATTGCCACAAACTTGAAGTACTTTCCTCCAAGTCACTCCTTTATTGGAATCCATCCATCTCTCAAATACTAGTATCAGCTTATCAGAGGCTGACTTTTTACTATGCAATATAATCCAAAGAATGAAAGAGTTGGTTGGAGCAAAGGAAAAACAATAACTAGTGGAACATTACATAAATATAGCATTTTTAAAATAATTTAAAATAGAAAATAACATGAGCTAAAAAACTAAAATTATTAAGTGCAACATCATTTATCGTTAGCTCTAACTCTTTTCACAGACTGTTCAAATTCAAGTGCACCTTCCAAAGCTGTTGTCCATTTTTCCCTCAAGAGATTAGCAGCAAATTCTATTGGTCCCCCAACACTAGACAGAGCCTCAAGATACTTCACACAATGTTTCTCTAGGTCAGACTTAGAGTCCAATAAATTCAGTATAGATAGAAAACAGGTGGATATGGCATCATAAGTTGGTGACTTCTGAACTTCCTGGGGAATTATATGAATCTCAAACAGTTTGCTAGCAACATGGACTAGAGAAAACTGCAGGAGTCCAGCAAAATCAGTGTGATTCTCAATCATAACTTGTTTGATCTTTTGTTTAGCTGCTTTAATATCAAGATCTATAAGTAAAAATAGTGAATAGCTAGTCATAACATATTATTTACATGTACATGTACCTCCTTCTCTTCTTCTTTTAGTTGGTACTGACTTAATTTCATCACTGCCACTACTGCTAGGAGCAGCTATAATAGATATAATGTATAAGATAATAATATTAGAAGAACAAGTTATACCTGCAGTAGGCTGAGTGGTTCTTCGTGATCTGTGAATATATAGTGTAACAGGATCAGCCACACCCTCTACTGGGACAGAGTAGTGTAGTGTAGGAACAGCATCAGGTGATGAATAGATTGATATCGGACAAGATGGAGGAAGAGAATAATTTTTGTCACCAAAATTGTCAATTTCATCTTGATGAAACTGTACAATAAACTTAATTTATGATTGATGCACCATAATTACTTTGACAGGTTTCATGTGAGGCTTAATAGTCCATCCAGTAAATGGTTCATCTTGTTCAGCATCAAACTTTAATTCAATATAACCATCAGGAGACGCAATGCGAAAGTATTTATGAGGTCCTCTTCTAGCTAGTGAATGTTCTTTCTTGATAAACTATGCATAAAATATCTTTAATATAAAAATGACTTAACGGCGGCTCACCTCAAGAAGTGCGTTCAAATTTTTAGCAGCAGTAAAGGTCACCTGATCCTCTACACCAATCTCCTCATAGTAAACCAGTCCAGCATATGTTTCAGCCTTTAAGAAATTTTTAGATCTGTTTCCAGTACTAGCTGATTCTTCTAATTGGTGCTGTTGAAGTAACACATTATTACCTACAGTATAACATTATGATGAATAAGAGATCAAAATACATGTGTATGTTATAATAATCATAAATAAAACTTACCCCCAGAAGATGATGAATTCCTTGTCCTCATACTGGGCCCAGGCTCTGATAAAGGATCTATAAGAAATCAGTTAATCATAAAATATCAGCAATTAACTATGAAGGTGCATAATTACTAACCAGCTAAATTAGATGAAACGACTGATGAAGAACTGGTACTACCTCCTCCTCCTCCATCACAGCCACAAATAGATATAAGACAGAACTTCTCACGTTGAATGGATCCATACCCACCATTAGAGCTAAACTCACCTCCCTCTACTAATGTGAACTGGTAAGGAAGACTGGCTGTGCTCACGGGAGCTATTGCAAACTTTAAGTATCCTCCAAGATCTGGCCATCCTGTTAAATCAATGCAGTGCTGTATCTCTAGTTGTAGTGGCTTCAGTAGAGGCTTTGAGAGTGATACTGCATACACAGCACTCACTAGCACAGTATTAGGAGGAAACTGGAACTGTCCTCCTACAAGAGCAACCACTGCTGCTTCTACTGTCTCAGAGGGCAGTAAGCTGTCTTCTTGTACTCCAATCCTTAGACCATATTTCTCCCAATTCATCAGTTGAGGTTTGTCTCCTTGAATTAAGAACAACTTCTTCTCTGCTACCTGGACATCACTCAGATATTCCAAATTATCTGTTACATACATGTAATTATTAAGTAAAATAATCAATGTCTTTTTTAAACATACCCATTGAGGGGATCAAGTAGTCAAATTGTACACCAACAGAATTAGTTTCTTTGATGCTAAATTGATCATGTTCATGTAGAGTGACATCCATTTTCTCTCCATTTAAAACCAGTTCATCTTCTACATAAAATGATAACGTGATCAAAATAGCAAGTATTAAATGCATCATGTGATACTAAACAAAGGTTAGCATGTATTAGAAACTGCATGTTCAGCAGCTGACCTAAATGAATCTTTTTCTCTTTAAAATCATGCCGATCCTCCAGTTCAATGACTTTAACTCCATACACTGGAATTACATAAATTAAAAAATTGTTTTAACTTATGACAAAAATAAACCCATGCAAGTCACATAGCTATGATAATATATTTACTTTTAGTGAGTGGCACTAACTGCTTCTCAGTTTCCTGTAGTTGTGTTTCAAGTATTTGTATTATTTCATCTTTTTCCATAAGAGCAGCAGCACTAGAGACTACACAAAATATATGTAAGAGTACATACAATATATGTACAACAATGAAAGCCAATATTATTATTATGTATACTTCCATATAAAATTTTAAAGGTGATAGATATGATCTTTAAAGCAAAAGACATAATGGGCATAATTTTTTTGTACCTGATAGTGAATTGGTCTCACATAGTGCTTCCTGAAGTAATTGATTGCCATGACGTAAATGCTTATTAATAACTCGAAGCTCCTTCTCTTTATCTGTCATGTATTCATTCATTCCAATCAATTCCCTTCTTCTATCTTTTAGTATTAGTTCATACAATAAAGGAATATTAGGTGAATCTAATACTAGACCCATTGACCATTGACCATCATTAAAAACTGAGGGAGAGAAGTTAGTGATTGTGAGTGAGGGAGAGAAAAGAAAAAAAGAAGCAATGGCCTAATAATACTTTTAAATTTCAGGAAACGTATCATTCTACTTATTATTTAACAGTAGTATAATTAATTATCTAGAATAATTAATTTTTATAGTGTTCATGCATATTTGTTATGGATTAGCACATGTATCCACCAGATCCCTGTCAAGTACGTGGGACACCATATTTTTGGCTACTATTGTGGGAATTAGGCCAATAGGCTAAAATCTGCCTACAATCCACTATGTTTGTAGTGGTACAGAAATGGAGATTAAGTTTGGAATCTATTCTTTCTGGATGGTAGCTCCTTTGCTCTGCTAAAAATTGGTAAAATTACACCTTCTCCCCATTGAAGGCTGTATACAAAGTATACCTCCATCATGACAGCCAGAATAAAACTTCATGCACAATATCACAATGAAAGTCAATGAACATTCACACAAGGGTGAATACAATTTTTTTTGATATGAATAAAATGATCTTACCTAGTTCTACTACCATTGTGATATTAGGACCACTGACAGGTATATCAGTCCATTTCATTATTCCTTTTCCTCTAGATACCTTTTCACTCTCTACATTACCTCCCACTATTATCAGGAACACATGATTAGGACCAACAACAAAAGATGATACAGTATGATCGTATCTGCCAGTAACAGAATCAGGTAGAGGAATCTGTAGAAAATAAAAAATAGAGTACCATAGGTCAGAATATATTCACTGCTGCTTATTTTTGCAATTATAATAAAAATACCAAAAAACAGTTTAAAGCATTGGTATGACAATAAGACCATGTGTTTAGTATTCTAGCAGCTTTAGTGAAGACTGTTGCTCTGGCTTGAACTAATATAAATATTTATCATAATTGTATTATGCCTGATTTCATTATTGCATTATGACTGATGGCCAAAATCCATGATTCAGACTGATATCAGCACTGATTCAGACTAGAATCTATCTTAATTCAGGTTTCAACTCTTTGGTGTGTACAGTGAGTAGAGTAGTTCTGAAAAGAACTGGTTAAAGCAGCTTAAAAGAGATCAAGAATTAGTAAACAACAACTCAAGAACACTGCAGCAGGGTGGCTTCCTTCAATATCGCACTGTTTTAAATTAAAATCACATCCGGTATCTATGGTAATTTCTGGGCAGCACAGAAAAAAAATTATGCCAACCTATGGTATTCTGCTTCTATAGTAAGACATTTGTTTGACTATAATACTTTCATCAATTCACATTCACAAGAATTATGCTGGTATAATAGTTATAATTACGTATCAATACCTTCATCCAACCGTACTGATGTGTGTCTAATAACCAAAAATCATTCAGTAGTCTGTCTTTACTATCTCGTCCACCAATCACTACTAGTGTAGGTGAGGTAGAGACACCATTGATAATAGTACTGGCATGACAGTCTCTTCCTTCAGGTCTGAGTCTATCATTAGGTACTGATCCTCGTTTAAGATACTCCCAATTCTAAAAATATACATGTACATGTAGTACATAAAGACATATTATTCTTACTGTTAATCGCTTTGTTATACTGATAGTGTATAACATTAACTTACTATTGTATTATGAGATAACTGAAACAAGTAGATATTGTTAGTAGAAACATCTCCACCATTACCATCAGTCACTGCTCCTCCATACATAATTCCTTTATTATAATTGATCTTTTCAATTACAAAGTTACTAGTCGGTGGAAAACATTGTCCAATGACAAATTGTAAGAAGTTGTTTCTAGATGGATCCGGAACTCTCTGTGTACTATTGTAATTATATATTATGTGTTTATTCAAGTATATTCTAGAACAATCATGTAAAGTATTCTTGTATGTTATAGAACCTTCTGGACATTTATAATATCTATATAAGTGTGTTGTTAGTTAGTTGTGAGTTTCGTGTTGATTAAGAATAAAGTTTGGTTAACAGATAGTTGGAGCGTCTGTTACATTTTTTGGTGGAAGCGGTGGGATAGTTCTCAAACGGTTGTAGAGGAAAGACCCACTATTGTATCTCTGCAAGAGAGAGAGACTAAAGTTTATAGTGTCTGGTGTGACTGTTTATGTCGGATAACAGTCGAGAGAATCAAGGGCGGTATTCTCTACGGGACTTACCAAGACACGACTACAGAGGACAGTTGCGAGGATTACATATTTTCAGAGAGAGTTATACTTCAGTTGATACGGAAGACTGTACTGAAGTGGAAGAAAGTCTTATTACAGGAGTTAGTGATCCGATGGAGCAATTAGCGGCAGCTTTGGCAAGTTTAGCAAAGCTTCAGGAGGAGGCCCAGAGACAAGCTGAAGAACGTCGTCGAGAAGAGGAGCGACGGCGAGAGGAGCAAGCTGAAGAACGTCGTCGAGAAGAGGAGCGACGGCGAGAGGAGCGAGCTGAAGAACGTCGTCAAGAAGAGGAGTAGGAGTTGGTGCAATTCTTAGTCAAGAAGAGGAGAATTTAGATGAGGGACCAGTTGCTTATTTTAGTAAAAAGCTACTCCCGAGAGAACAAGCATACTCGACAGTCGAAAAAGAGTGCTTAGCTATTATTCTAGCCATCAAGCATTTCAGTGCATATCTCATAGGGAGATCTTTTATTATTCAAACGGATCATAGAGCTCTTCAATGGCTACACAAGTTTAAAGAGAAGAATGCAAGATTGACTAGATGGAGTTTGATTCTGCAACCATATAATTTCACTATACAACATCGGAAAGGGGTAGCAAATGCAAATGCAGATGCACTTTCTAGATTGGAGAGGAAGAGCACTTCGTGCCAGAGGGGAAGGGAGGAAATGTAAGAAGTTGTTTCTAGATGGATCCGGAACTCTCTGTGTACTATTGTAATTATATATTATGTGTTTATTCAAGTATATTCTAGAACAATCATGTAAAGTATTCTTGTATGTTATAGAACCTTCTGGACATTTATAATATCTATATAAGTGTGTTGTTAGTTAGTTGTGAGTTTCGTGTTGATTAAGAATAAAGTTTGGTTAACAGATAGTTGGAGCGTCTGTTACACAAATGGAACGACCCATTTTCCTAAAATAATTATCCGTAACTGCATGTTATTAGCTATTTGCTATTATGTAATATTATGTATGGTAAACAGTATTATAATAAACTATATGTAATTTGATTCCGGAATCAAAATAATTTTTAAAAATTTCTATACAAATATTTCTATAAAATGCCAAGTCACTCACCACTGGACAGGTTGTAGATATTCTGTTCATTAGTACTAAGATGATCATCAAGACCAGGTATCATAATCATTGAACTATCATATTCAAATTGATGATGATAATGTGTAATAGTTGATACAGAAGCTATTCCGCCAATAACCAGTAATTGTTGAGGTTCACCTTCACTTCCCATTACTATCATACCACCATAGCCTCTCTTAGTCACAGAATTGTTATTAGTTGGTTGTAATTCTTTCCATTGAAGAGTTAAAGTGTCTAAACAGTTCAAACTGTTATGGTAGCAGGAGCCATGGCCACACCAACCACCAAAATAATAAATATTATTATTAATGGTAGTACAGGAGACTCCTATGATACCCAACGGAGGAGTACCTCTAGTAGGTTGAGAGGACCAAACACCAGATAATAAGTTAAACGAATCAATAGCAGAAGTACACTGTCTCTTTGTAGGAGAATCATGCGACCCATCAAATCCTTCCTGGTCCCCTCCCCAGCAGTACAGGGCCTCTCCTACTACTGCAGTTGTGTGTTCAGTCCTCCATTTCAATTGATATTGACCTGTAGGTACCAACAATAAATTATAAAAGAGGTAAGCGTAGGAACTGACCTGATCTATCTAAATTTCTATCCATCAAGAACGTTTGACTCTATTATCTATGCTTAGCTTCACGTGATCCAGCCCCACCCACCCAATTTACAGAATGGATTATTTCTGACCTCAGGGTCAGAGTCTTGCAGTTGCTTTTTTACAAACTTTTAATGTTGCAGGCTCCAAAATTAAACTAAAATCAGAGTCAGAGTAGATGTACAGTAGTACATGATGCCAAATTTGTCAAAAATGACTCAGAGAATTCATTTCTTTTATAAGTTCTTCTGATACATGTATATACTTATGTTGTGTAGAAGGTTTGAGTTGATTCCGACAAAAATTAGATTTTTTATCACAGGTACTTTGAACATTAGTGTTTATTCCTCTAAAAAGACAAGGTGGGCGCATGACAAGGAATTTGTGGAATGACAGGGAAAGTAGATGTTCAGTCTGAAACTTATAGTTTAAAAAGTCAATTAGTTGGTTTGCATTGCAATGAAGAGGTCATCATTATTACAATCACAGAGATAAAAATATTAAACTAACAATCAAGAATAATGTGTCTGCATTCTTGCATCACAAAGCATGTAACATTGTAACTAACATCAATTCTATGAAACTATGCATTCCTGATAAAACTTAATATTAACAATAACAATTAGCATGCACATAACTAGATACTTAAACTTCTCCTTCTTCTAGCACTGCATGTTCGTTTAGTATGTCATTGGTCTCACAGTAATTATTTTGGGTCTGTAGTTTTTCCAGAGTCGCACGTAACATATCTAATTGCTCATCAAACCACTTCGTAGCTTTAGTTTCTGATTTATTGTACAGCTTGACAGAATTATAAATCAATTCACCAAGATCTAGTGGCACAGTGAGGACAGTAGCTACTCCTCCTGCTATAACAACTCCCCTTGTTGCCGCTCCAGTCACTCTCAATGTAAACGCACCACCATGGAATGCCGATCGAGCTGCTACTTGTACTCCACTTGTAGCAGCAACAGCTCCAGTTCTTAGCAACTGGCGACTTTGAAGTATAAATGCAACAGCTTCTTCTTTTATTGCTATGCTTGCGTATCGTTCCATAAAGATTTCATTTACTTGCTCCATCAGCTGTTTGTCAACGTCTATTACTGCTTTGGCTTTCTTAAGTTTATGCTTAGAAATCAATTTGTCTGTTACAGTAGAAGCTATAGATACAGCCCCACCAGCTACTCCTACACCAGCTCCTATAACAGATAATGCTATTGAGCCTCCAAAAGTGACTGGTATCAACCCAAGACCAATTACTGCTAAACCTCCTCCAACTAGTGATGTGACTGATCCAGCAATTCTTGATCGACGAACATTTTGACAAATAGAGAATATTTTTTGTCGATCGTTCTCTAGTTTTTCAACAGTTGCCTTTCTCAGTTTACATAACACATTAAAACTTAATTTCAATTCGGCATCATATCGTTGCTCTTTATCAGTACTACATAAAATAAAAGAATGATTATTTATAATCATGCCATAAAATAAATGCTTACTCTGTAAGTTCAAGATTCCAAAAATGTAATGGACTTTCGAAGCAGTCTTTCATGATAAATGTGGGATCATTATCAAATGCAGCCAATGATTTTTGCAGACTAAACTTAATGCTCAAACTTGTAATAACTTCAAGCATGGGTTTTCTTTCAACTGGAAAACTCCCAAAGTAGCTAGCATTAAGCGTGTGAGGAACATCACTTATATCAGGGAATTCTAATGGCTGCGCATCATTTTCATTTAGCT